TGGATTCCTTGTCTTATCGCTCTGGCTACAACTTCTAGTATTATATTGAGAGTGGACATCCTTGTCTTGTTCCAAATCTTAATGGAAATGCTTTCAACTTTTCACCACTGAGAATGATATTGGTATGGGCTTGCCAAATATGACCTTTATGATGTTGAGGTATGTTCCTTGTATCCCGAGAATTTCAAGGGCCTTTATCATAAATGGGTGCTGTACTTTGTCGAAAGCTTTCTCAGCATCTATTGATATTATCATATGGTTTTTATATTTCTTTTTGTTGATGTGTTGGATTACACTGATTGATTTTAGGATGTTGAGCCATCCTTGTGTCCCTGGAATGAATCCTACTTGGTCATGGTGAATTATCTTATGGATACATTGTTGGATTCTGATAGCTAAAATTTTATTGAGTATTTTTGCACCTGTGTTCATTAGAGAGATTGGCCTTTAGTTTTCTTTTTTTGTGTTGTCCTTGTTTGGTTTTGGTATTAATGTAATGTTGGCTTTGTGGAATGTATTTGATATTATCCCTTCATTCTCAATTTTTTGAAAGAGTTTATGAAAGATAGGCACTAATTCATTTCTGAATATTTGATAGAATTCATTTGTGAATCCATCTGGTCCTGGGCTTTTGTTTTTGGGGAGGGTTTTGATGACCATTTCAATTTCACTGTTTGTAATTGGTCTGTTTAGGTGTTCTATTTCTTTTTTTTTATTTTTATTATTTATTTATTTATTTATTTATTTATTTATTTATTTATTTATATAAGCACTGGGTACTGTCAGAAGTGCGGGAGGGTGAGAGAATTCACCATAGCCAGAGCCGGGAGCAAAGCAGGCAGAAGGACCAAAGCACACTGCTGAAGGGAGCAGTGGGCAGAAGGAGAGGTCTGCGTGCCTTGCGGGACCCTCCTCCAGTGGCTGGGGAGCAGCTGGGGATCAAACCAGTGCTGCAGAGGCTGCGGGTAGCTTCGCAACCCAGCGCTCAACCGCTGCGCCACTAAGGAGGCCCTAGGTGTTCTATTTCTTCTTTATCTAGCCTGGGTGATTATAAAGTTGCAGGAATTTGTCCATCTCTTCTAGATTGTTAATCTTGTTTGCATATAACCGTTCATAGTAGTTTCTGATTATTCTTTTGATTTCTGCTGTCTGCTGTGATTTCTCTCTCATTTGTGATGCATTTATTTGTGCTTTCTCCCATTTTTCCTTTGTGAGTCTGGCTACGGGTTTGTCTATTTTATTTATTTTTTTGAAGAAACAACTTTTGGTTTCGTTGATCTTTTGGATTTTTTTTTTTTTTAGTTTCAATTTCATTTATTTCTGCTTTGATTTTTATTATTTCCCTTCTTCTACTGGTTTTAGGGTTTTTTGTTGTTCTTTTTCTAGTTCTTTAAGCTGTGAGATTAGGTTGTTTCTTTGAGTTCTTTCTTGTTTCTTGATGTGAGACTGTATTGCTAGATATTTTCTCCTTATTACTGCTTTTACGTGCCCCATACATTTAGGAAATTGATGTCTTCCTTGTCATTTTAACTCAAATTATTTTTTAATTTCTTCTTTGATTTCCTCATTAATCCAGTGGTCTTCCTGTAGGGTGGGTTTCAATCTCCATGAGGTGGGAGGGTTCCTTGTCTTCTTTTTATGATTTATTTCTAGTTTGATGCCTTCATGGTCATAGAAGATGGTTGGTATGATTTCAGTCTTGGTGTATCTGTTGATGTTTGTCTTGTGTCCCAGTATGTGATCGATCCTGGAGAATGATCCATGTGCGATTGAGAAAAATGTGTACTCAGGTTTTTGGGGTGTAGTGATCTATAGATGTCTGTTAAGCCCATGGAGTCTAGATCCTTATTTAGAGCTTTAATGTCCTTACTTATTTTTTTGTCTCATTGATCTATCCATTGTTGATAGTGGTGTGTTCAAATCTTCTACTATATATGTGTTTTCTCTGATGTCTGTTTTCAGAGATGATACTAGTTGTCTGATATATTTTGGTGCTCCCTCATTTGGTGAGTATATGTTAATGAGTGTTATTTCTTCTTGAAGTATTGTCCCCTTGATCATAGTGTAGTGACAGTTGGGGTCTCTTTTTACCTTTTTGAGTTTGAAATCTGTTTTATCTGATAAAAATATAGCTGTTCCTGCCTTCTTTTTTGGTCCATTTGCTTGTAGGGTTGTTTTCTATCCTTTTACTTTCAGTCTATTTTTATCTTTTGTAGTTAAATGAGTTTCCTGGAGACAGAAAAAGGTTGGGTTTTGTTTCTTAATCCAGCCTGCGATTCTGTGTCTTTTTATTGAAGAGTTTAGTCCATTTACATTTAGAGTTTATATTGATATGTTAGGGTCTGTATTTGCCATTTTGTTTGTCTTTTCCCTGGATTTATTTTTTTATTTTGATTTTTTTATTTTGATTTTTTTGTCTTGTTTCTTTCTTATTCATCCCTCTGTTGGTTCTGGATTTAGGACTCCTTGTAGTATTTTTTGGAGTGGGGGTTTAGTCGTAATGAAATTCCAGAGTTTCGGGACTCCCCGGTGGCGCAGCGGTTGAGCGCTGGGTTGCGAAGCTGCCCGCAGACTCTGCAGCGCCGGTTCGATCCCCGGCTGCTCCCCAGCCATGGGAGGAGGGTCCCACATGGTGCGCAGACCTCTCCTGCCGCCCGCTGCTCACCTCAGCAGTGTGCTTCTGTCCTTCTGCCTGCTCTGCTCCCCATTCTGGCTCTGGTGAATTGTCTCACCCTCCGTGCTTCTGACTGTACCCAGTGCTTGTATAAATAAATAAAAATAAATCTTTAAAAAATAAAAATAAATAAATAGATAAATACATAAATAAAGAAAGAAAAAAGAAGAAATTCCAGAGTTTCTGTTTGTCTGGGAAGGTCCTATTCTTTTTTCATAGAGGAAGGTAAGCTTTGAGGGATAGAGTATTCTTGGTTGGCATTTGTTATCATGGAGTCTGTTGACTATATCCCTCCACTCTCTCCTTGACCGTAGTGTTTCTTTGGAGGTCTGATGTCATCCTGATTGGTTTTCCTAATATGTTATGTATGTTATCTGTTTCTTCCCTCTTGTCAACTTCATTATTTTTTCCTTGTCTAGGATTCTTGGGAGCTTTACTATTTTGTGTCTTGCTGTATTTTTCCTTGCATCATGGAAGTTTGGTGTTGTTCTTGCTTTCTGTATGTCTATTTTCAGCTCCTTCTTCATGTTTGGGAAATTCTCTTCAATTATTTCCTTGAATATTTTCTCTGTTCCTAGGTCTCTCTTCTCTCCTTCTGGGATTCCTATAACTCTTATATTTCCTTTCATGGAGTCAGATAGTTCCCAAAGTCTTTCTGCATTCTTTTTCATTTGTACTGCTCTTTCCTTTTCTGTTTTGGTTCTTTTTATTTCAGTGTCTTTGAGAGTACTTATTCATTCTTTCATTTCATCTATTCTGCTTTCACTGCTATTTCCAGAGTTCTTTAGCTCCTCCATTAATCCTTTGATCTCCTCCATTTCTTTCACTTCCCTCTTTGGGGATTCAATTTCATTCTTTTGATTGTTGATTATTTTTCCCTTATCATTGTTTTCCTTTATGACTTCTGTCAGTTTTTTTTTTTTTTATAGAGGCATGCTTTATTTATTTGTTTGTTTGTTTGTTTGGTTATACATGCACTGGGCACAGCCAGAAGCGCGGGAGGGTGAGAGAACTCACCAGAGCCAGAGCGGGGAGCAGAGCAGGCAGAAGGACCGAAGTACACTGCTGAGGGGAGCAGAGGGCGGCAGGAGAGGTCTGCGTGCCATGTGGGACCCTTCTCCGGTGGCTGGGGAGCAGCTGGGGATCGAACCGGCGCTGCAGAGGCTGCAGGTAGCTTTGCAACCCAGCGCTCAACCGCTGCGCCACCGGGGAGGCCCTCTGTCAGTTTTTTAATCATGGCAATTTTAAATTCTCTTTCTGGAATGCTCAGAAGTTCTTCCAAGTCACTGTTGTTGCATTCTGGTGGGTGATTTTCTTTTTGTGGTACGTCATTTCCCTGAGGACTTGCTTGGTTGTTTGTAGTTTTTCTTCTCCCTGCTGCTTGTTTTCTAATTTGTCCTATGCGTTGGGACACTGTATCGCTGGTACTGGCCAGCATCTTTTTGGTGTGCTCTTTCTGGGATGTCAGAAACTGGTGGTCCAATCGAGTCAAATACTGTTATGCCAGAAGTCCAGTAGGGCAGTGGTTCTGTGAATATGTTAATGGTCGCTGTCACAGAATATCTCCTCCTTCTGTATTTGTTTAATTCCAATGGTGTGTCTTGAGTTCCCACAGACTGCCCTGGAGGTGGTGTGGCTGGATGGCTCGCTGGGCTCCAAATCGCTGGATCCCCCTCTGAGCTCCAACTCCCTGCCAAACAGGGCCTGGCCTGGAGTGTGGGGCTTTTCAGCACACCTCTGGCTGTGGGGGCAGCCCTTTCCCTGTTCCAAGGAGTCTCAGTGGACGCAAAGATCCCTGTTCTAAAATGGCAAGTCAGAAGGGCACTTCCCTGCACCCATGGTCTGCCCTGGTGGCAGCCAGATCCCCAATTTACTTTTTCTTTATTAAATTTTTTATAATTTACCTTGTTTCACTAATCAACACTAGAGCCACTCAATTTCCTGTCTGACATTATAGTCCTAAGTAAAATTTTCTTGTTGATTTTAAAATACTAAAGTTTTTCTTTACTAAATTTCAGTAAAATGCATTACTCAATGCATTTTAAGTCAATGTATCAGATATCGTCTGTATAAGTCAATGTATCAGATATCGTCAATGTATCAGATATTGTCATTACATTAAAAAGCTCCCATTTTTTTCAGGGAAATACACATAAAAGGTGTCCTATGCATGTTATTTATATAACATATTAATATAGGTAATATATATAAATTAAGCATAAGAAACTTAATTTCAATTTAGCTACTGAAAGACACCTTTCTAATTCTTAGCTACTTAAGAGGACAAAAGGAAGAGGGCCCATTCTTCTGTTATGTCTCTTTACAGGCCACACAGAAATTAGAGAGAACTTTGAAGTTGTCCATTCTGTCTGGATCGAACAAGGTAATCTCTTAGCCCATTTTTCTGGCAGTAAAAATTTTATAAGTAGGCTGAACTTTTTTTTTTTAATTTAAAAGAATGTCCTCCATTTAGAACTTAAAAGGATTTGTTCATATCGGACTCACAAACTCAAAAGTTAGAATCACTGCCAAGGATCAAAGCAATCATGATTACAAAAATGTTCTATTATATTTTGTCCACATAGAAACATTGTGTCCCTTTTCTTCAAAAAAGAGCAGCAGCTCTAAAATTATTTTAAAGATTTTTTTACTCTATTTAAACAATTTAAAATAATTAAAAATTTAGAGTAAATTTTTTGAGATTAATACAATAAAATGCATTCATTGTACATATACTGTATGATAAGTTTTAACAAATAAGTACATAAGTGTAATGACCACCAAAATCAAGATATAGAACATTTCCATGACATCAAACTGGTTAACATGTCAGTAGGAATCAATCTTCTTCATGCCTGAACCCAGGCAAACACTGATCTTTTTTAGCGAGAGCAGTAGATTACTTTCAGTTGTTCTAGGACTTTATTTAAATGGATTTATATCATATATATTGTTTTGTGTCTAGCTTCTTTTATTCAGCATAATACTTGGGGGGTTTACTCACATTGCTGTGTGTACCAGTAGTTTATTCTTTTTATTGTTAATAATATTCCATTGCACAGATATACCACAGTTTGATTGTTCTTTCACTGTTTTAACTATTGTGAAAAATTGCTATGAAAATTCTTGCAAAAGTCTTTGTGCAGAAATGTGCTTTCACCTCTCTCTTGAGTGAAAACCTAGGAGTGGGTTGGTATGGTGAAAATATGCTTAACTCTATAAGAGAATGCCAAACTGTTTTCCAAACTATAGCATTTATATTCCCACCAACAATGCATGAATGTTACACTTACGCCACATAGTATTGACAATCTTTTTAAATTTCAGCTGTTCCAGTGAGTAGGTAGTAAATATTGTTATAGATTTTATTTCCAATTCTGTAATGACTAAAAACACTGAGCATCCTTTCCTGTGCTTATCAGCACTCCTTTACTGAGAAATAGCTCTTAAAATGATTTGCCCATTTTTAACTTAGATTCTCCTGAGTGTCAAAGTGTGTCTGTGTGTTCTAGTAATGAATCTTATCTGTTGTATGGTCTGCAGTTGTGGCTTGCTTTTTTTTGTTTCCTTCCTGCTATATTTTGAAAGAGAGAAGCTTTAAATTCCAACTTAAATTTATACTTTTTTTTATGGTTTGTGCTTTTGTTGTCCTTAGAAGTCTTTGTTTATCTTAAAAATTGCAAATATCTCCTAGGAGTTTTATAGGTACATAAACCATTTAAAGTTAATTTTGTTTGTGGCATGAGGAGAGGATCTAAGTTTGTTTTGTATATAGCCATAAGGCTATCCAGTTGTGCCAGCACCATTTGTCCGAAGGAATATACTTTCCCTATTCAATCATCTTGCAACCGTTGTGGAAAATGAATTGATCAAATGAAACATTCACTAATGCATTAATATATTTCAGGACTCTTTCTCACTTTGATTATGATAGCTTCATAGTAAGTCTTAAAACCAGGCAGTGTAAACCCTTCAATTTTGTTCTTTTTCATATTTATATTTTGACTACTTGAGGTCCTTTGGAATTTCTTATTAATTCTAGAATTAGTTTTTAAGTTTCAAAAATACTTCTGGAGCAGTGATAGAGACTGCATTGCATCTATAGATCTATATTGAGTTTGTGAATCTGTGAACATTGATACAATTATTTAGATTTTTAAATTTTTGCTTGGAAATGTTTTAAATTTAGTATATAGGTCTTGCATGTGCATTGTCAATTATTTTAAAGATTAATTTTTATTTATGCATGCATGCATGCAAGAACTGGGGTGCAGGCCAGAAGTGCAGGAGGTGAGAGAATTCATCAGAGACAGAGTGGGGAGCAGAACAGGCAGATCTACTGAAACATACTGCTGAGGTCTGCTGTGCCATGTGGGTCAGCTCCCTGGCCAGGGATCAAATTCATGTTGCAGTGGCTGGAGATAGCTTAATAGTGCTGAGACTTAATACCTTGTGCCACCATGGAGGACCTACATTGTCAACTTTTTTCCTTAAGTATTTCATCTGCATATTTTTGAAGTGATATTAAGATTCATTTTCAAAATTTTGTTGCTTGTATGAAAAATAGAGGGTCTTTTATTGACCCTGTATTATATAACCTGTTTATATCACTTCTTAGAACTAAGGTCTTTTTTAAACATTCCTTAGGATTACCCATATATGCAAATATATCCTGTGGGGGGTGATGGATATTTCACTTCTTTCATTCCAAACTGTGAAAATTTTTCTTACTTCATTGCATGAGATAGACCCTTTGGAAAATGAAGAAAGGTAGTGAAGATAAACATCCCACCTTGATGCCAACTAGGGTAAATCATTTGGTGCATCATCATTATTAACTTGGGCTGATTTTTTTTTTGGTTTGTTTTTGTTCTTTGCTAAATTCCTTTATCAGGTCAGAAAAAGTTCCTTTCAAATACTTGTTCGGGGCCTCCCTGGTGGCACAGGGATTAAAGACAGCACTATCAAGTTCACCAACTACTGCAGCATGAGTTCAATACCTGGCTGGCCAGGGAGCAACCCACATAGTGAAGTAGACTTCTCCTGCCTTGAAGTGGGCCTGCTGCTCCCCTCAGCAGTGTATTTCAGTCAATCTGCCTGTTCTGCTCCCCACTCTGTCTCTGGTGAATCCTTTCAACCTCTACCCTGGTACCTCTGGCCTGTACCCCAGTTCTTGTATGCATAAATAAATCTTTAAAAAATACTTGTTTACTAAAAAGTTGTGTTGCTTGTATTTTAAATAATCATAAAAGGTGTTAAACTTTATTTTACTTTTAATCTTTTGAAAAGGTATCTATTTAGCTCTTCTGCCCATTTTTGATTGGATTACTTCTTTACTTGCTGCTGAGTTGTATGTGTTCTTTGTGAATCTTCCATCTCAAAAACAATATGCTAGGCAAAAGGAGACTTATATAAGAGTATTATACAGACTATATAATTATATTTTTATAAAGTATTAGGAAAGATATATATGACCCATAGTGACAGGAAATATCTGAGTGGTTGCCTGGGACTAGGGAAAATTAACTTGAATGGGCACAAGGAAATCAGGAGTAGATGAGGTTGTGATGAAATGTTCTGTATTTGATTGTGGTAGTGGTGATTACACCGACATGTTTTCTCAATACTCATCAAAATTTTTTTAAATTAAAATGTGTGCATTTTGTTTTATGCAAATTAGATATCATTACATTTTTTTGAAAGGGGAAATAAAAAGCATTATAGATATAAACCATTTCAATTTTCTTAGTTCAAATCAAAATCCAGATCTGCTTGTCTGAGCTGTTCTAGTTCATTTTGACTGAATGGGGATGGCCAAACATGTCAGCTTCATATTTCCAAATAAAACAGATAATTTATATTGTTTATACTCTAGTTAATTCTTTGTGTTTTTATAGTGTGTTGATGCTTAAAATTTAAAACTCTCCCAGGAGTTCTTTGAGTAGTGTGATAGTGGATGTTTTCATCATAGCCATCAAAATGCTGTGCACAAATAACTACTATGTAGATTTGTGCACAAATAACTACTACTCAGAGAATTAGAATGGTCATAAAACATCCCTTATGAAGATAATTACTAAATTTAGCCTAATGTTTCTTTTATCCCTCAAAACTACCTCATAATCTTATGGTTTTTTTAGGCATAAAAGCAGCACTCTATAATTAAAAAATTCCTCAGCGGTCTTTTGTATTTTGGTTCTGCATCAATATGAGTTTCCTGTTAAGCCTCCCCAAATCACTAAAGTCTAAGTAATGGTTCCCTCTCTCAACTGTTTCTGGGGATATTGCTTATTTGGCAATTTAACTCTTCCATGTTTGCTAACTCTCTAACCGACTCTTCGTCAACTTGAGGCCATAGCAGATATCCAAGTATTTGTTGATTAATTTCCCTTTATTGATTAATAGAATTGAGGGATTTTTTCAACTATTTTGTTGTATAGGGCTTTCATTACAAATCAAAATAAGCTCAATGTTTAGTAATTTTGAAGAAATGTAGGTCTTCAGATTTATGTTGATCGATCATGCCGTTTAATTCACAGAGCTTAGTTGTCGTGATCGCCTTGAGAGAGGATGATGCACAGGAGAAGGCGCTGACAGAGGAGTGGGAAACCTGGATTCTCGAGTGGGCAGTAACAGGGCTGGATCTGGTTTAACAACACAGGTACTGTGAACCTCCCATTTCTTGGGACAAGGCTCTAAGCTGCACATGCCAGAGTTCTCCTTCTATGGTTTCTTTCTTTTTTTTTTTTAAGATTTATTTCTTTATGCATACAAGAATTGGGGTACAGGTCAGAGGCGTGGGGGGTGAGAGGATTCACCAGAGACAGAGTGGGGAACAGAATAGGGAGACTGACTGAAACACACTACTGAGGGAGCAGCGGGCAAGTCAGGAGAGGTCTGCTGCGCCATGTGGGTAGCTCCCTGTCCAGGATCCCACTCGTGCTGCAGTGGCTGCAGATAACTTCATAGGTTGCGTCTCAACCCCCTGAGCCATCAGGGAAGCCCTCTTTCTATGGTTTCTTAAAAGAAATGAACCATACATCTGTCGGTCTGTTTGGGTTTAAGTTTTAATATTTCACTCTCCCTTTTTACAAATAAATGAAATATATGAACAAATGAATATATATTTGTTATATACACACATATTTGTTATATGTATTTATTTTCAAATTTAAACCTTTGAAAAAATACTTTTCAGTGGAGAAGACAATGGTCTTCATTTTGGATATACTATCTTTTAAAATGTTTTAGTTATTAAAAGGGGCAAGTAGATTCAACATAATGCTTATTACAGCTCCCTTAACTGCATAGCACAACCCTAGGGAGAGAGGGTGGATAAAGGCAGAGGGGTAGCATGGCTCAAAAAAAAAAAAAGAAGCCCAGTGACTGGACATAAGGTATCTTAAGTAGCAGGATAGTCAGCATAATTTTTTTCTTTAAAGCTTTATTTATTTATGCATACAAGAGCTGGGGTACAGGCCAGAGATGTGGGAGGTGAGAGGATTCACCAGAGAAAGAGTGGGGAACATAACAGACAGACTAACTGAAATACACTGCTGAGGGGAGCAATGGGCGAGACTGGAGAGGTCTCGTGTGCCATGTGGTTTCTCCCTGGCCAACCGGGGATTGAACTCGTGCTGCAGAGGCTGTGGATTGCTTCATAGTACGATGCTTAACCCCTTGCACCACCAGGGAGGCCGTCAGCATAATTTTAAACTAAGTTAAATAAAATGGAGGATAATATGTTTAAAGCACAAAGGCAAGAAATTATACTAGTTGATACCTTTTAGCTTAAGAACTAAAATTATATACAGAATGCCAAATTTCTAAGTTGCATTTTCCTGCACTAGAACCACTGTTTCATCTCCTGGTCTAATCACCATGGATGAGGCGTCTTGCAGCTTGGATTCTTTTCCGGCACAGGCATGGATTCTGCGTTACAATTTTTGTTGTTTTAGCAAATCACCATGATTTAGACAAAGACTAGTAGAGGGAAAAGCATATCAGGTAAAGGATTTACTTTGGCTGTTCTTTTTTAAAGACGGAATATGCATTTACTGCTTTTGGGGAAAACAGACAAGTTAAAAAAAACAGGAAAACAATCAACTAAGTTTTGCATTTTGGAGGTAAACATTGTTAACATGGTCTAGTTGTGAATATGCCTAGAGACATCACTTTGCATGTATTTTCACAGGAATACATAGTTTTTCGTAAATAGGATCAAATAATGCATTCGGTTATATGCTTTTTCTCCCAGTATTTCATGGCTTTCTATAATGTCTGGTATATATTCATCTATATTTTAATGACTTCATAGAATTCCATTGTAGGAAGCAAAATTTAATAGTTAATGTCACACCATGGACATTTAGGTTGTGTTGCATTTTCCACTATTATAAATGACACTTCTAACCATATCTTGCTCAAATAACAAACATCTATGGGTGTTACTCTTCTTTTCAAATAATTTTTAATCAATTAGACAGATTTGTGAGTAGAGAAAACTGTTAGCAAGAGTAGAAGTGTTTTATTTCCTGATAAGTTCTTTGCTCTATTTCTTCTTTTCACACTATTTCAATGTGCACCTTCAGAGTAAAGAAGATGGGTGACTTAAAAATTTCATCTCTTCTGTTTAGTCCTTTATACACAGAAGTGTATCCAGGCAAAATTGCAAACTACATTTGGGAGGAGGTTAAAGTGGGAGGACATTAGGTCTTAGGTAAGTCTTCTCTATACTGATTTTACATTTTTCACTGATTCTTTATGCACTTGGTACCCCTAGGTTTTTCCCTAAGAGCCTCAGGCCCTCCTCAATGGCTCCTGGATGGATTCCCTCCCACAGCTGGCCTTGTCTTGCTTTTCTCCTTTCACTCAAGTCCTCCAGAGTTGTAGAGAGTGAAGATGTTACCCTGTGCTTTACCATTGCTTTAGTGCCTTGAGAGGTGATGGTTCTGGCTGATCAGATATACTGTTTCTGTGCCATTAGAGAACAGTGAATGAATGTTCCAAATACCATTTATCAGACACAAAATGAGATTTTAAGGCTTTATTCCCAAAGGGATGGCCGAGTAAGGATTTCAGGTACCCTGTTAGTTAGAGAGGATGGCATCAGCAAGCAAAGTTGGCCTTTGCATCCTTAAGCCACACTAGGCAGGGTGGTCCCTGCTTTTACAGACTCTCTCCAACCCAGTACCATGGCACAAAGAACCATTCAGGGCTTCCCTGGTGGCGCAAGGGATTAAGAGACAGCCTATGAGGCTGTCCGCAGCCACCGCAGCATGAGCTCGATCCCCGGCCAGGGAGCTACCCACATGGCTCAGCAGACCTCTCCTGACTTGCCTGCTGCTTCTCTCAGCAGTGTATTTCAGTAGATCTGCCTGTTCTGTTCCCCACTCTGTCTCTGGTGACTCCTCTCATCCCCCACACCTCTGGCCTGTACCCCAGTTCCTGTACGCATAAATAAGCAAATCTTAAAAAAAAGAGCTATTCAGATGTTATGGAACTGATCTTATTTTAAAACTGAAGATCCTGACTTTTAGGGCTGATGCTAAAAGATATAAAAATGGAGCTGTAATGAAGGCAGTAGAGATCTTCACTTCTTTATGTAAATCATATTTATTGATATTTAGCATACAGTGACTGTTCAGCATTCATTAAAACTTAGCATCATATACTGTGCCAAGTGACGTTCCCAAGAAATGCAGAAGATAGTAACTAAGCAACTGGAAGAGACTTCTGTGAGCCTTGTAATAATTATGTATCATTTCCCAGCTTGTTGAGTGACTTGGGGTAAGATGACACAATTATGAAGAAACATTGCAGGTATAAGTTCATCTGCTGGACAAAATGAAAAACAGGAATGGCAACAGGATAAACAAAGGCAATTTGGAACTTGGGAAAACGATAACCTGAGGATTTGTTAGAGTTGGATTGAGATTAAGATAGTTCTCTAATTTTGACAGCTTCCCTCTGTCAAGTGTGCAAAACTTTATTCTGGTTCACAAAAGGGAAATTGAGAGTGAGACAGTTACTGTTTCTGGTGATTGACCTGAAAAGTGCCTTGGTGTTGATAAGTGTGTTACTATTCTCAGTGGTGGCGTCTGTTTGGCATTACTGTCTTCAGTACTCGGGCTACAAAATATAAGACAAGTTCTGCTTTTCACTTCAGAATTTAATAGGAGAAATGGAGGTTAAAAAAAAATTCATATTGATAAGTGCTGTGGTTACAGGAATGTATAAAATGCTGCCAGAGGCAAAGGAGTCTCATCCAATTGTAGATTACAGAATGGCCAGAATACTCTGAACTTGGAGTATCAATAAGCAAACAATTTACAAGTTAACAACAGTATTAACTCACTAAAATACTGTATGCAATACTTTCCAAGATCTTTTTAAAAGTTTCATTATGGTCAAAATGACTCAGAAACTCATTTTCCAATAATTTCTTTTATGGAAACAAGCAGATGCAGAAAAAGATCAGCATATAAAAATGTTCACCTCAATTTTTTTTTTTTAATTATACTAAACAGAAACAAATGAAATACTCAGTAACTGAGAAAAGTTAAATAAATTATGGTATATAATTTATATTCACTGTAGTTAAAAATTAATTGGTATAGTTTTGATGCTATAGAAAAAAAAGGAGGCTGTACAATTTTATGCCATGATCCCATCATGGTAAAAGAAAAAAGATGGAAAATGATCAAATGATCAAAGGAAATCTATCCCCCAATAAGACAGGAAAAATATTAATGAAATACTGAATGAGAGCTAATATGAAGGAAATATTATCTCTTACTCTAAATAAAGGCAGTAGTTTTTTCTGTACCTTGCACATCATATCAAGTCAAAGACTTCGTCTTCCAAGCTCATAATGAATTTGTTCTCATTTAGTTTTTTTTTTTTTAAGATTTATTTTATTTATTTATACAAGCACTGGGTATAGTCAGAAGTGTGGGAGGGTGAGAGAATTCACCAGAGACAGAGTGGGGAACAGAACAGGCAGACTGACGAAATACACTGCTGAGGGGAGCAGCGGGCGTGGCAGGAGAGATCTTCGCGCCATGTGGGACCCTCTCCCTGGTGGCCGGGGATGGAACTGGTGCTGCAGAGGCTGCGGGCAGCTTCGCAACCCAGCGCTCAACTGCTGTGCCACCAGGGAGGCCCTGTTCTCAATTAGTTTAAGGGAGGAAATCAGGTATAATCCTGCTTAGCTACAACTGGGAAGATTCTGAACTCACATATATCAATATATTTGTAGACTGATTTGGAAAAACTTGAACCAAAATGATTGCTTAAAAAGCCCTTGAGTAGGAATTAAAGTGTTTTGAAATTAACAATCTTTTTTTTTTTAAAAAAAGCAAGTGTCTTATTGTTATAGGACAGGGAGAGGGTCAGCCCAAACCCCGCAAACCTGCCTATTCTAAATGGGTTCTGCCATCCGCCGCATCAACACAAAACATAGGAGACTTGAATGGGAAGGAACTTTAATAAAACTAGGAAACAATACAGGTAAGGCAAAGAGTCTAGTTTCTAAATGAAGCACCCAAAGTTACCCGTCCCCTCGTGGGTAAAAGTCCATCCAAATGGGATTGGCCCAGAACAAGGCCCCAAAGCCTGCCACAAGTCTAAAGCATCTTCCAGTGGGGACCCACAGCAAAG